AGAAAATATTCCATCTTCTCAGCACATAAAACAGGAAGGATGGTGGGGAGGAGGCTGGGCCCTGGATCTGCTGCACAAAGCATTTTAAATCACGCTACCCCTTCCAAAATGCAGATCAGCCACTGGGGCTAGCTGTTTTTATCATATAACAGGATAAAAAAAAAATAGAGCGCTACAGAGAGGTTCAAATTGCATTACATGAGACTAAAACACTTGCACATCATTTCCCAAAGATAAATTCCCAATAATCCCATCTCAGATGACTGCTCAGGGCTCATCACTGTATTGGACATCTACTATGTTGGTACATTTCTTTCATGCTTCTCTCATACTCCAACACTGCCATTGTGTTGCCACTGAAACCACTTAAAAAAAGGTGACCATCAGGGAATCAGGACACCCTACTGATTGTTCTCACAGTGCTGTTTAAGTAATCCTTTTTCAGATGGAGGCAGAAAACATACACAGGCACACTTCACATGCACCCACAGACCGCTAACAAGACAGCTTGATGAGGCTTTTGGACCTTTACCTGACTTCCTGTTACCACACACAAGCTTGCATATTCTCTCCCTTTGCCCAACACTTGCCATCACTCCCACCACTTCCTTGCGTCTGTCACACTGGCATTACACTGCAGCTCAAGTTTCTGTATAACAGTTACAGCCCTACATTTGCAATTGGAACATCTGTTTTTTCAGTTTCAAACTTGACCTCTTTATACAGTATGTATCTCAGCTTTATTCAAAGGGTAAATCAGGAGCTCAAAAAGAAAGAGGATCAAACTAGCTGTGAATTCAGAGTAAAAGACGCACGTTTCTGACAGCAACAGCTGTGATTTTGATAGAAGCTACCGGCAGCATTACACTGCATAAGGCCTTCCAGTGTGGGAGTGCATAAATTATATATTGCAATCTAATGAAAGCCAAAACCCTGCGATGGACTGGGGACCTGTCCAGGGTGTACCCCGCCTTTCGCCCGATGTCAGCTGGGATTGGCTCCAGCCCCCCACGACCCTGTACTCAGGATTATCGGTTGACGATGGATGGAAGCAAGCCAAAATGTTTGCTGGCACCAAAGAAATACCAATGGTGTATTTATTGTGGTTACACCCATAATGTATTGTACTGAAAAAAGGGCTCCTGTACTACTGGCAGAATGCAGTCCCCACCAAAACCACTCACCCAGATCTCCTGTCCGGCAGATGATGAGTTGTTAGAGCTGCTCTCCACAAAGATGAGGTGTGTAGCTGTGAGGTACAGTGTGCCGTTTGTGGATTTGTTGCTGAAGCGATCCAACAGTCGCACCTGCTCCACCTGCAAACACACACACATCATCAGTAATAACAGCATTAAGTTAGCCAGTAGTTCGCAGTAAGGTTAACTTCTTCAGCTAGGTGTAAACTTATGTATAAAAAGAAGAAACTGAGAAGAAGAAAGATATGATCTTGTTTACAGGAATGACACCTGTCACAAAATGACTGTAAGTGGCACATGGCGCCAGATCCAGCTGGCACACCACCTAATCCTGGCCACCTGGGCACAACTCAGCTGCCAGTTCCATCATAATGAGAGGCACAAATGATGTCTGGATATGGGAAGAAAGTCTACTTACGGTATTGACTGAACAATGTGATGTAAATGTGCAGTACCTTAAAAATGTAATTTCTCTCTATACACAGCTGAGGTGTAGCCTTGCAATGTTCTTCCCAGTGCCCCTAACTCTTCCACGCATACGAACAGAAATACTGTAGATGTAGTACAGTAGTACACACATTTTCACATAGGAAGAAACTTGTGATCCACTGGCTGTAATAACCAAAAGGTCTTAATATCTTCTGTGTCAGAACGCCTATTCTTAAATGTATTAAATAAGGCAGAAAACTTCCTGTGCAAGATAAATGTCTATGACAGTATTTTAGTATTGCCAAATACACATTACAGACATTAACAAGATCCCTAGCAACATGAGACATGTATTCTAAACAATGCTGTCGATGGACTTAGATGACACTTTTAAAATACATGTGCACCCTGAAATGTTGCATTCATCTCAAATCCCTCTCAAACACTAAAATCCATTAGAATAAGAGTTCTCCTTATTGTTAAAAAAAAGCTGATTGTTTCTAGTGACCTACACTTTGTGGCCAGAAGGTTATTGGACTGTTTGCTGCTGTTGTTGCTGCTAAGTGTAAAAGTCCATGATTCATCATAGAAGCGGTTCTCTTGTTGACTCAGACATCCTCTCCTTTGTTTCCGTTTTCCTGTCATTCTCATGTGATGAAATGTCTATCTCTGTCCCCCAGCAGCCGTGGACACAGCTCTGTCACAGACAGGCTTCTTAGCACATACAGGAAGTCAGGCGGGTGTGTGTGTTTGTGTGTGTGTGTGAATGAAGTGTCATTATAAAGTTGATGATGTAAATGTTTACACTAACGATGCAATCTAAGATATTCTTCAAAGTACTTTAAATACTGTAGTCGCCACAGAGCTCGACCATTGCATCCTTTGAATTTTTTTAAAACAGCTTCAACTTTTTTCTAATGCAGGTTGACCAGAGAGTTAATAAAACACCATCATCCAACAAAACACTACAATATACAAGCTAGGAGTGTTTTTCTTTTTACACAAAGTGAAAACATATGTTATTATATGGCAATATAAAAGTCCTCCTCTGCTGTTTTACTCAAGTGAACAACCGAGAGGACTTGAGACAGTAGGGGCCACACCCAGACTGCATGTAATCACACCCACCTGAACAAACCAAATGCACAATTATCCTAGATTTTCAGAAGTTAGGCCACGCTGCTTCGTAACGTGACGAAGAAAGCTCACCTTTCAAAAACGCACACCATCACAATTACACATACTAGAACAAATAAGATGTAGGCCTAAAGCATGTCCCCAACTTGTGGGCTGCAGAGGCTTATGTAGAATACGTTTGAGTGGTTAATGTCAGTGGCATGTAATCCCTCCACTTTACGGGATGGAATGTAACTTGACCATAACATAAAATGAAAGCAATCGCTTTTTATATCTGGTTGCAAATCATTTGCAACCAATCTCTGTCTGACATCTACATATCACCAGCCACTTGGGATCTTTTCTAGTAATGCTCTGCAAGGCCTGTTACTGCAGCAATCTTCAGTTTTTGCTTGTTTGACTGAGGGCCTTTTGCCTTCAGTCTGCTGCTCTTCTGGCAATGATTTGGACGTCAGGTGATTTGACTTGGCCAGTCAAAACCATTTCACTGCTTGGCGAATCCTAGGTTTTTTCGCTGGATGTTTAGGATAACTGTCCAGATGATAAAATTGTTAGACTATGTATGAAGAGGACTGCCAGTCCTACAGAGATCACGCTGGGTGTGAACACCTTCTAACACTCACTCAGATATAACGTTGCAGACAGTAACGTTACTGTGTGTCAGACAAGTCCATCGCTGAGTCATTAGGCTTGAACGTAGCTTGGATTCTCCTTCTACAACATTGCATGCGCTGGCTGGCTTGACAGTGTAACGTTAAATTCAATCGATAATAGGGCGTGCAAGTGGCATCATTATAAATACCAAGCCCAGCTATCGGCTCTCACAAAACGTGAAAAACAAACAGCTCATTGATGCCCGTCACGTCCGACAAGCTGCTGGCGACACCTGCTAGTCACCATGCTACATTAGATTGATCCACAAACATCTAAGGTTAGTCTAAACGTTGAAATCCGGCCAACGTAACCCCACTCAAGCAATACAAAAATCCACACAAGACAGGCCCAGGCTGCTGCTGACTGTATCCCATCCATTTGCAATTAGCTAGAAATGTTAGCTAACGTTACCTTTGGCGTTCGGATATGCTCCATTTCTCCGAAGCGAAACAGCTGTCAGCTTCAAACGACGCAGTCTGGAGATAACTGTATCATTTATAACAGAATGGCTCAAACTGCGGCATAAACCGTCTTCACTTTGTAAGCGGCACACGATATGTGTTTATTGTCAGTTATTTTCCTCCTCCATCCGCGTAAAGACAGTGTCGATCACGTCAACACATTTCCAACGTGTGAGGTTTTCGAAGTAAAAGCACAAGTCCGGATTTACCCTACTAAAATGCTATTCAGGTACACACTGTATTAACAAGCTTCAATGGCAGAAATGTGTTTCTCCATACATTTAATCGCTTATGCATGTACTGAAATTATTACTATTACTGTTATGTCTCAATCTATCAATCATTTATTTATTATTATTTGTCCCAAAAGGTTATGTCTCATATATAGGCCTATATTGTCTTTATCCTCAACAGTTTCTTCTTTTTATTATATTAGTCTGTCCACATATGTAGGGTTTAGGTCAGATCTGGGAGATTGTTTCATTGTTTTCCTTTCTTGCCATTCCTCTCCTCTCCTTGAATGTTCATTCAAGGCTGGGAGAGGATCTCTGTTCCCCAAAACATATTTGGACTGTCTAAATGATTATGCATCCATTTGCTGTGATCCAGACACTCAAAGCTGCCCTAGGCAGCAGGTCTCTAGACCAGCTGATGATTTTTTGAGTACTTCCTTGTTCTTTTGTCCTATCATAAATACTAAAAGACAATGATTGTAAGTTTTGTAGGTTTTTTGAAGTAAAATACACAGTAGCCTTGTGTAAAATTGTTATTAGTGTCATTATTATGATTTTAGTATTAGCAGTATGAATTCAGCTATAAATATGCAGTGTAAAACAAAACAAGAATCACGAATCAAATCACTGTATGGCTATAATACAAAAGATGCCAAGTGGCAAAAATGTACAGTAAGTGAAACAGCCTTGTGCAAATACAGTGTTTATTTACCTATGTGTCTACCATGTTTTCTATCAGCGTCAAATGGCTTCTTTCATTTTGAAAGCAAGGCCGGAATCATACTGTGTGGTCTTTTCTCATTTAACAGCGCTGAACCAAAGTTGGTACCGGACTGTACGTGATAATATCGATAGGGACGACGGGAAACGTAGTTTATAAAAAGATTACCCGAAATGCCATAGCACTCGGGACATACCAGGCGGGGAATAAGAAAAGTAGCATGCTGCGATATTTGGCAGCTTTAAAAAAATACACTAACAAAAGAACAGTTGGCAAAAACACAGCGGGCTACTGTTGAATAGTTCCGGGTGTATTTAGGAAAGGCGACATTTTTGTCCAAGTATGTTGTGAATTAAAGACAAGCCCGTGGATTTGGCCCTCACGCGGGCATCTTTCAAAGCTAAGTAGCGTGTTAGCTGTGATGTCGTTTACTCGCTGAGCATCTTCATGAGTAACTTAGCTGAAGTCTAGATTGCCAACTAGTGTTCAATGTGTGCCTCATAAGATAAAATGTCTGGCTTTAACTTTGGATCAGGGACCCTCGGTTCCGCCAACACTGGTGGGGGATTCACATTTGGGGCCGTAACCAGGTAAGTTAATGACAGAAGCCGACTTAGCTAACGTTAGCATTGCCTCAGTTAACCGGACGTTAGCAGGTAACAAAGCTTGCATGGTTGGTTCTGTGTTCATTTATTTATCATTGTACAGCACAGGGTTGTACAACGAAATGCAAGCTGTAGTTAGTCACTTAATGCTAACGTTACACTAAAAAAAAACTATTTGTGCAGAATATAACGTTAAGTTATTGTCAAATGTAACGTTACATGTGTTTGTGTAGAACTCTAAGATAATATTGAGTATAGCTGGTTGATATCAAGTTAGCGATCGTTATAGCCAGATTGTTAAAGAAACTCACTTATGTTCTGTCTGTTGTGTATTTGTTGCTTGTCTTGATAAGCAACTGCACGTTTGGCGCGACATTCTTATTAGCATAAGGAACTGTAAGGTATCTTTCACTTTGACTCAACAAGTGTAACTCTTGCAAACTGCAGGTTTGACCTGACAATCTGTGGTGTGTATGTAACAAGTAAAATGTCTAAGGTTAAGTAGTAGGAAGGGATTTCCTTTTAAAATTGACGTCTTTCTTTTGAGTAGTTGTTAGTTTGCATTAATGTGGCAGTGACAGGTTATTCCTTGCTTCACAATTTGCTTTTTGACTGGTATCATGGAAGTACTGTGATAATGTGACTGAAATTACTTCCTTTTGCCATTTTAGTGCACCTGCGGCCAATACTGGTGGTTTCTCTATTGGGACTGCCCTGGGTACAGCAGCCCCAACCCCTGCCTCCGCCGCCAGCGCCACCCCGTCTCTTGGCCTAGGAGGCAATCTCTTTGGTCAGAAACCTACTGGAGGATTCTCTTTCAACACACCTGCCTCAAGTAATAATGTCAAACAGATACAAAAACAAACACAGTGGCAAGCAGTGAAATAAATTCCTGTGTCAGTAAACCATCTACCTGCTGAAGCCGAACACCTTGTCTTATGGTATGTTTTTGTTCCCCTTTAGGTGCTGCTGCACCCACTGCAGGCCTTACATTAGGTATGTTTGTATTTCTGGGATATTTTTAAAATAAGATCTTGGAAAGTCAATGGAAACAGGTTATAACCTTGATTATACTTCCCCTCAGGTGCCCAAGCCACTACTGCTGCGTCCACCGGCTTCAGCTTGGCCTTCAACAAGCCCACCGCCTCAGCAACACCCTTCTCCCTCACCACCACTGCTACCACCTCCTCATCAGCCCCTGCAGGGACAGGCCTAACATTTGGCTCTGTCCTGACTTCCACAGCTCCACAGCAGCCTGCACCCATGGGCTTCACGCTCGGTCTTGGTGGCACAACAACCACCACAGCAGCCTCAACAGGCCCATCACTGGGCGGGGGTCTCTTCTCCAACACTATCTCTTCAGGTGAGATGCGTCCAGACATGATAACTGGCAAGAGCTGATTTTGGCACAGACACCGCGAATAAATTATACAACAATGGCAAAGCTTTATACCATTTCTACAAATGCAAGAATTGTAGACAAAGGCAAATTCAATATAAAGTATTAATTGGTGTATAGGTAAACTAATGATAACTAAGGTTTTTGTAGTGTTTGGTCAGTGGGTCAGCAAAGTAGTGGTGACTTTAACATAGTGCTGTGACTTCTGATTTTCAGAGAGGACATAAATATTTAAAATTGTAACTGCTGTTGTGGTTTTGACCATGACTCAACCGTCTTACCTGAGCACTGTTTGAGAAGTAATCGTCGCTCACAGTTTAATAACACACATCTTTACCTGCTGTTGCAGGTTTGGGTCAGACCACTCTTGGAGGAGGAGGTGGGCTAACATTGAGTTCTCTGTTAGCTACTTCCACAGCAGTATCAGCGGCTCCTGCCCCCAGTATTGGACTGGGTGGAGTTGACTTTAGCACTTCCTCTGAGAATAAGAGCGACACATCATCTGGAGTTAATGCACAGTAAGTCCTGCTCAATAACATAGACCGGGTTCTTTACTCAGTAGAAATGCTAGAACAACTGTCCAGGACTGTCTATACTGCACTGTTTTAAGTTAAGTTAAAAGTGTGTAAATAACTGTTTACTGAGAGGCATTTAGTGGTTTTCTTTTAATTTAAGGGACCATAGAATAGGAAAAACTGTATTTACCCTGGCATAATTAAATGAGAAGCTTTCAGTACATGGATCTGACATACCTTGAGCCTCAGTCATCATTGTTTCTTCCTTCATATGTAAATCTTGTGCGTGCAAAAGACCCCGGAAACAGGGGTGAATGCTAACAAGCACTAGGTTGGACGTAACACTGGGGCTCTTGAATATTTACACCCACAAAATGTACATAAACCAGCGCACGGTCTGGAAGTGGCCCCTAAAGAGGCGGGGGCTAAAATGGAACGCTCAGACAGAAGGTGAAAAGAGCTGCTGAAGCAGTGTATGAGTAAAACAATGTATGTTTTTAATATTAAAGCATGTAAACATTTTATAGTACAACAAGGCATGTTCAGTTTGTTGTAAAGATGAAAAACACTCTTTTCTCTCCCTCAGGGACAGTAAAGCTTTAAAAGATGAGAACCTGCCCCCAGTAATTTGTCAGGATGTCGAGAACTTCCAGTAAGTGGTGTTGTATGTGTGTGTGTATAGTCACAGAATTTGATCCAGTGACACTCACAAGCCTGGGCATGCTGCTTGGCAATGTAGAACTGTCTTATTTGTTTAAAGAAGCAAATGTTAATGTCTTTGATCAGTAGTGTTATTGTTCCAAAGCAGATGCGGCACATTTTTGTTCCAATGGTCTCTCTTCCTCCTTTATTTTTTCAATAGAAAATTTGTGAAAGACCAGAAACTGGTTCAGGAGGACATCAGCAGGATGTCATCTAAGGCCATTTCTAAAGTCCAAGATGACATCAAGAGCCTCAAACAGCTTCTGTCTGTAAGTGCCAGCGGTCTGCAGCGCCAAGCTCTGGCCATCGACAAGTTAAAGCTGGAGACAGCGCAGGTAAAAACAGTACATCTGCATACACATGCCCAAGTATGAGACGTTATGTTAACTCAAGTCTTTTTAGTCTTGGTGCATAAAAATACTTTGACTTAATCACACATCAGTTGTCAGTATATGGATACGTAACATTGAACACTTGACTTCCTTAAATCCAGTGAAGAAATTAACATGACAATTGGTGTTTTAAAGTGGACACGCATATTTCATGTGCGTACTATTAAATATTTTGAATCCCAAAGTATGTAAGATATAAGAAAATGCTCCAGTTCAATGCAAAGATGGACATAAGCTGTGTTTTCAAAGGCATAGCTACAGACCAATCTAGCTCTTTTAAATAGGATTTGAAATGAGAAGAACTTAATTGTCTGTAAAGTTGCAAACCGTATCTATTACTCACAACATGAAGTGAAAATGTGGAATGTGATCTCTAAGAAAAAGGTGGCATCCTGAAGTTATGTATTAAAAATAATCTTTTGACTTTCCTTTCTTTTTAAGGAGCTAAAAAATGCTGACATAGCACTGCGTACACAGAAGACTCCCCCTGGACTTCAACATGAGAACACTGCTCCATCAGAGTAAGTTAGCTACCGGATAGTAGTCCCGTTAAGTCCTATGAGACAATGGTAAATAATCGTCTTTTTAGTAGTGTCAGCTTCTTGGCCTGCAGTATTCTTAACTCACTAGTCTCTCAGTTGTTTTCTAAACATCAGCTTTTACCACTTCATGGATTCGACAAAGATGAAAATATATGTAATTTCTCTGTGTTTAGTTATTTCCATAGCCTGATAGAGCAGTTTGAGGTGCAGCTGCAGCAGTACCGGCAGCAGATAGAAGAGCTCGAGAACCACCTGACAACGCAGAGCAATGGCTCCCACATCACTCCTCAGGGTAAGAGGGCATCTGTCTGACTTTTATCACAATTCTGGAAAGCAGGTGAAATGTCTCGTCATTAATCAATGTACACTGCTCAAAAAAAAATGAAGGGAACACTAAACACATCCCATCTGAATGAATGAAATAATCTCATTCAGTACTCCTTTCTTTACATAGTTGAATGTGCTGACAACAAAATCACACAAAAATTATCAATGGAAATCAAATTTATGAACTCATGGAGGTCTGGATTTGGAGTCACACTCAAAATCAAAGTGGAAAACCGCACTACAGGCCGATCCAGCTTTGATGTAATGTCCTTTAAAACAATTCAAAATGAGGCTCAGTAGTGTGTGTGTAGCCTCCACGTGCCTGTAGACCTCCCTACAACGCCTGAGCATCCTCCTGATGAGGTGGCAGATGGTCTCCTGAGGGATCTCCTCCCAGACCTGGACTAAAGCATCCGCCAACTCCTGGACAGTCTGGTGGTCCATAGCATCAATGCCTTCCTCTTGCAGGAACTGCTGACACACTCCAGCCACATGAGGTCTAGCATTGTCTTGCATTAGGAGGAACCCAGGGCCAACCGCACCAGCATATGGTCTCACAAGGGGTCTGAGGATCTCATCTCGGTACCTAATGGCAGTCAGGCTACCTCTGGCGAGCACATGGAGGGCTATGTGGCCCCCCAAAGAAATGCCACCCACCACCAAACCGGTCATGCTGGAGGATGTTGCAGGCAGCAGAACGTTCTCCACGACGTCTCCAGACTCTGTCACGTCTGTCACATGTGCTCAGTGTGAACCTGCTTTCATCTGTGAAGAGCACAGGGCGCCAGTGGCGAATTTGCCAATCTTGGTGTTCTCTGGCAAATGCCAAATGTCCTGCATGGTGTTGGGCTGTAAGCACAACCCCCACCTGTGGACGTCGGACCCTCATACCACCCTCATGGAGTCTGTTTCTGACCATTTGAGCAGACACATGCACATTTGTGGCCCGCTGAAGGTCATTTTGCAGGGCTCTGGCAGTGCTCCTGCTGCTCCTTGCACAAATGCGGAGGCAGCGGTCCTGCTGCTGGGTTGTTGCCCTGCTACGGCCTCCTCCACGTCTCCTGATGTACTGGCCTGTCTCCTGGTAGCGCCTCCATGCTCTGGACACTAAGCTGACAGACACAGCAAACCTTCTTGCCACAGCTTGCATTGATGTGCCATCCTGGATGAGCTGCACTACCTGAGCCCCTTGTGTGGGTTGTAGACTCCATCTCATGCTATCACTAGAGTGAAAGCACCGCCAGCATTCAAAAGTGACCAAAACATCAGCCAGGGAGCATTAGAACTGAGAAGTGGTCTGTGGTCACCACCTGCAGAACCACTCCTTTATTGGGGGTGTCTTGCTAATTGCCTATAATTTCCACCTGTTGTCTATTCCATTTGCACAACAGCATGTGAAATTGATTGTCAATCAGTGTTGCTTCCTAAGTGGACAGTTTGATTTAACAGGAGTGTGATTGACTTACATTGTGTTGTTTAAGTGTTCCCTTTATTTTTTTGAGCAGTGTATTTAACATGACCATAATGTGAAAGTGGTTACACACAGTGACAAACGGCTAAAGCAAACCACAGATCTGTTTAGAACCAGGTTAAACACTGATCAAAAAAAAAAAAGAAAACATTTAAACGTTTTTTTCAGTGACTTTCTATTCCTTGCTCTTTCTCCCCACTTCATCCTTTCATAAATGCGCCATAAATGTGCCCAAAGGTGATGATGATTCTGTGTTTTTTGTTTCCAGACCTGACCATGGCCATGCAGAAGTTGTACCAGACATTTGTTGCGCAGGCTGCCCAGCTCCAGTCTGTCCATGAGAATGTCAAGGTCAGTTATTTTGAAATGTTGTTTTATAATATCTAGGACAGTGTGATAAGGCATTTATCAACTTGAAGTTGAATAGTATTGTGATCATGTTATTGTTTTGTTTTACAACATGTTAATTTATTTCTTTTTTTCTTCCTTTTTTCTTGTCTTTCCCTTTTGTTTATGCCTGATATCACAGATCTTGAAGCACCAGTACCTATCTTACCGCCGGGCCTTCCTGGAAGACTCCACGGACGTCTTTGAGTCCAAACGGGCATCCAACAGGAAGTGGCAGAGTACGGCGCGAGTCACGACCGGGCCTGCCCCGTTCTCCAGTGTGCCCAACGCTGCAGCGGTTGCCATGGCAGCCACATTGACCCAGCAACAGCAGCCAACTCCAGGTCTGACTGCCTACAAGTTTTAGAAAGCGATATTCCTCTCACCTTCAAATATAGGAGGGAGGGGAGAGGCAAATGTATTAAGAAGTTTGGGAGAGTGTTTTTTAAAATTAGACAATTGTCGGAGCGGACAGGTCAAAAGGGGACACAGAGGATGATTACAAATACTAAAAAACAAAAAAAAAGCTTCAGCTGGTGCCAAACTAATGTCTGTACTTTGTCTGTAGAAAGAATGGTTAAAGACAGCGGGAGAAAGGGAGAGATGACCTACAGGAAACCATTGTGCTGCCTTACCATCTTGTGACTGACTCTCAGTTCAAGGGTTAGACACATTTATTTAATGCGCCTTACAACACTAGAGTGAGGACATTTTATAGATTGCTCCCTTGGGAAATCTGGCGGTGTTGGTGCCATACACTTGAGAATGTTATACAAACACTTTAAGAAATACCAAGGACATAATAACCTACTTCCTCTATTTTCTCCCTGGGCCCGCTCTTAATAGAATGTTTGAGCAGGTATGTGAGGCTGACGTTTTACGAGACATTATATAATGGGAGAGAAAGTCCAGCTATCTCAATTTTCTTGAATCTTGAAGTAATTATTAGAGATTCATTTGAGTTTGAACTGTTTATTTTTGTTTGTTTTTTCTCAATGGATGCTTGGAATGAGCCAACTCTATGAAGGTTATTATGTATAATGGGGTCAGACGTGTTAGACACTTGCTGTGTGTTTTAGATATACTTAGCAAACCTAAACCTGAATGATTTGTCAGGATTGGGTGCATTTAAATAAACAATTAACATTATGTCTGGGTGATCAGTTGGTGTGTAAGCTATACATGTATTATAATGTAGCTCCTACTCTCTTCAGTCACCAAATTGGATCATCTCTGAAAATACAGAACTTTTTTTAAGAAGAGAATGCAGCTTCTCTTGTTCAGGGTCTTAGCAATACAATGCCCATTTTAGACCAAGGAATCATACTCTAAAAAATTAAACCAAATACATACATTTTTTATTTTAAAAAAGGCCTATTTATTGATCAAACAATGTAAAAGATGTTCGTTAAATGTTAAATACCATTATTTACATCTTCTGCCAGTAAAAACAACACTATTTATAAAGATTGTTCTTCACAGTATTAATATGCATCTTTTTATTATGCATACTGCCTACTCTGAGATTGGTGTCGGAGGTGTGGTGCCAAATTGACATTAGGAATTGGTATAACCCAAAAATATTTAAATAAGCCCCATACCACCAATGTTACAAAATGCAGTCGAGCAGGTCATATTGTTTCACTCACCTCAGCCATCCCACTAAATTCACTTTTAAACATTGTACAACTGAAATAACTATGTGAAGAGTTGTCTGTTATTGTTGTTGCTACATCTCTGAGATGTGAAGCCCATTTTCAGCCCTTTCTGGAGGCTTTGGTGTGGAGGCCACTTACTGGCATATCAGGTTGGATTACTTAACAAGGAACAAACTATAAACAAACTAAAGTATTATGTATATTAGCATGTATATTAGCATGTTTCTACTATCTATTTTTTTTTTTTTAAAGTAAAAGTGTCGTAAAGACTGACTTCACACGTTTGAATGCAACTTTTTAATTAGATTGGGTTGCAAAGGGCAGTATAGTTTTTCAAATTCTCACATGGCAAATTATAGAAACGACAGCTGAAGTCTGGTTTCACTTGCAGATTTTGGCTGCTTCTGTCAGATTTGCTTTTTTACCGGTAATCAGATCTGATAACCACCAGTTGTTACCCAGACAAAGAATGTGGCTTATTGTTTCCATATACTACTATATGAACATTCACATACCTTTTGATCACTTAGCAGGACATGGAGGAGCTATTCTGAAAAAGCATCTAGCCTATTTGAGTGTGCTAAGTAGGGATGGGAATATTTTACCTTTATCTATTTCTTAATGACAGTTTGCAGAAAACTTTCACAAACACTGTTGCCACAATAGATAAGATTCACTTGTGTGGTCGAAGCGCACACTACCTTGGTGCCTACTTGTTTTTGTGTTGCTTTCCATTTTTTAAATTTCATATAAAGCCAAATAAATTTCTGCTCATTTGTTTCTTGTAACCCTGTATGCCCTGGGTATGCTAGCTGTCTGAAAAGGCTGCATTATGCTGTAATTTATTTCTAACTCATAGCTTTGCATGTCTGTTAACGCCAGAGTTGTGCACTGGGTTACATAATGGCTTTTTTTAGTGATCATTTTTAGCATAATTCCCATCCCTAATGCCAGATAGTGGTTATTTTCTAGTATTTGACTCAGTCATTTCATAGACTAACCCTAATCAAAAGTGGATGTCTTGGTCTCTTCAGTATTTATTTACCTATTTATTTCTATTTAGTTTTTTTGTTTGTGTGTAACTTAGTCCATGATTGGAATGGCACAGTGGAGGGTGGCCGGCATCACAGCACATATAACACTAACCACGCAGCTGGGTGGCGCTTACTTCAGGCAGATTCCTGTTTGACCCACATACTTGTCGGTGTGGTCGTTGGTTGCGTCGGCCAAAAGCTTGTTCAGATTTGTGCCTCAATGGACATGAGGGTGAAACGTGCCAAAAGACTCAGGATTGAAAATATAAACTATTTAAGTATCTGAACTGTAAATTTAAACTTAGAAATTGTCTTTCCATTACTGCACTTGCTTGGTCTTGAAGTGGAAGCGAGGCTGGTAACCTTGTAAAATAGCCCCGTGACAAAATACTAAAATGCATTCGTTAGTTGGTTTGGTTGTATGAGGCCACACCACTGTTACTTGATTTAAAATATTTCACCTAAGGGCTACTGCCAGTGTAACAGGGCTGGATCATTTCACATTAAGTTCAGTTAACTGAAGATGTAGAGTAAAAGTGCTGTTCACAAGTTGTAATTTCAGGTATTTTATCCAACGTGGTGGTACTTTGTATGGACCTTTTGCCGAAACAAGTTTCTTTTGATTTTGTTGTTTGGAAATCTACTTTGACATTGGTTTTACTGACTCATTGATTGGGTCCAATTTGTTTGATAGTTCAGAGGAGGAGTTTGGTTTTTGCTGCTCACACTGGTCCTTCAGTTACCAGTAAAATAAATCGGTGCCAAATGAAGTAGACAGGTCAGTGTGATCAGGTTGCATGTCTGCGTGGGGTTTATTTCCCACCATTTTGTGATAAAAGGATACAGTGTTGCTTGGTGTAGATACTGGTGAGAGCTTAGCATCTTTGGCGCTCAGACAAGTTAGGACAAAAAATGAAAAGTGGTTTAATGTGTTGTGATATAAACTGGTTTTCAGTTCACGCTCCAGCACTTATCTGTATATTGCTGCTAGTTACAGTGGTGCTCGGTGAACCCAAACTAATCAATTTTTAAAAAAATTATTTTTTGTGATGGAGCCGCTACGTGTTAAGAAACTGCTGCTTTGGACATTCCAGTCCTCCGTTGAACAACTCTAAACTTATTTGTAGGATCGAGATACAGTGTTGGACTGAGCTGGATGTCTTTTAGCTGGATTCCCAATTTGTTCTGAATTTTGACTTTTACTAGTGTAGTTTAGTTTACACTTTAATATATTGTCTTCCACATCCCTACAGTCGCACTAATTATTCTGTCAAAGGTGTTTGGACCTTGAAGGTGATCTTGGATCTTTAGCTCCCGTATTCCTGTATGTTAGGTATCTTCTCTATCTGTCAGTAATATGTATGCAAATGCTGACTGCTGTATTCTCCTTGAATGCCATTACAACAGCAGGAGTGATCCCATTTACCTCCCCTCTTTTTTTTTTTTTTTTTTTTTTTTTTAAACGTGAAGGAATTTAAATGTGGTGATTTTTTTTTTAATGGTTGACATAGTACTAGCACCAAAATTTGCATACAGCGCTTAAGATGAGTTATTCTAAAAGTCAGTTATTCTGAATTGTGTATATGGTATCGTACTTTTTTGTGTGATGTTGAGCTTAAGCACATCAGTTCTCCACAACGGGCTAGATAAGTCAAAAATCAGAGTGTGGTCTTTTGACTAATTGGCTGTTACAGACTGTTTTGAATGTTCTTGTTCTCTCCATTTCCTTTGGCTATTTATCATATGCTTGCGTCATATGTTACGTTATTTTATGCTTTTTTGTAGTGGTGGCTTTCAGGAGGTACAGGTTGTGTTTTATTGGGGGGTTGGGGGTTCTTTGTGATCTCTGATATGGTAAACATTTGCTAATCTGATTTGTTTATCTAAAATCTAGACTAAAGAGTCTCTTACAATATGTTAACCAGTCACCTCCACTAAGTGAGACTTGATCAAACAAAGTTTTTCTAGCCTGTAACCATGTGTAGATTTATCCACGGTGCAGCTTTTTTTGTTAAACAAAACCCAACCACCATTAACCACCAAGAATTTGGCTGTTATTATGTCTAAGAATACACTGGTGAAAGGTGTTCAAACAAACGTGCAGCACCACGGTCATTCTATTCCTGATGAAAGGGTGACCTGAAACTTGAACACACTCACTTCAAGCAAACTATAACATATCACTGAGTTTTCTTTATTTTGACCAGTTTACACTGAGAGGCAGCCGTAGATGCCAAATTCACATTTCTTATCAAAATCTCGAGTGCTTTTACTTGTAGATGAATGTGTTTAAACGTATATAACCAATGCCTGTTCATACAGTATATTTAATATATAATATGGTGTGCCTTTTAAGCTATATACAATAATTGTGTGATGCATTTTTTTTTTATTTTTTTTTTTTAAGGGTATGCTAGTTCATTCACTCTCAGAAATCTTGAAAAATTTGGAAACTTGTCAAATGCAGTAGCAATTAGCAATTAACAATCAATTCTGTTCTAAACTGTTTGTGTTTTATGTAAGTGGAGTTGCATATTAAATTGACAATAAATCAATTTTTAAACAAACAAACGTTTGTCCTTGTTTCTTTTTGACTGGAGTTGTTATAACAATGCAGGCTAATTGGAAGCCATGCAAAATTTGAATACATAAAAGGAGGAAAAAAAGGACAAGTTTCTGAGTGAAAGAACTAGCAGCATTCTTTTCCACAGTTTGTCAGCAATTATAACTACTGCTGATTAGCTGGAATGTTGGTTTATAAATATTGTTGTAAAGGTTTAAAAGTACATATAATTGTGCACATCAGTTGTATTGTGATGGTGCAGTTATAAAGTAGTAATATATTTTAATGCACCATGTGAGGTTATAAAGAGAAGGTACATAGCTGCTACAATCTTTTGGCATTCCCACAAACAACCTCTATTAGATTTCTCTTATACCATCTGTTGCAGACTTAGAGGTGCATTTAAAAACTTAAACTATTCATATTTTTCCTTTTTAATCTTGATATTTAATCATATTTTAAAATTTGATTTTGTCAATGTGAAAATGAAGTAAATTTTATGTTACAGAAGTGCTAGTCATAAAATACATATATCCGTCCCATGGTGAATGTTCTTACCAGCTTTTTTTCTGTCAAAGAAGGTGAGGAACATAGTTTATCTCGCAACACATTCAGAGGAGTAAAGCTTTATGCTCTCTCTGTGTGCCTTAGGGACCCAGGCACCCTTGGGGGCAGGGTTTGGAAACCCCTTTGCCTCGGCAGTGGGCACTAGCTTGGGCTCTTCTACCCTTGGAGGTATCGCCTGTGCCTTTTTTTTTTTTTTTTTTTAAGTAAATATTCCCTTTTGTTTTGTCCTTCACTGTCCTTAACACAGTGTTAACATTTCCCTAATGCCTCCTAGCCTTTAATGCCAGGCAGCCTCAGTCTTTGTGTTCTCTTGTATGAAAGTAGTGGTAGGCAGTGTGTATGTGTCTGAGAGAGTGGTGCAATCAAAGCTTGGCAGTTTCGTTTTTGTTTCTGCTCTTCCTTGCGCAAGAGGTCAAGTGCGTTCACACCACAAGAAAACTGAGCAACCATTTGCCACAAGTCACTGTAACTTTTTTACATGTGACAAGTTGGATGATTTTATTTTCCTTAGTGAGGAGAAATCTGGCCCAGAACAAATTCACCAGCCTGTTAAACTAAAATAATGCCATACATGTTACTAAAACACTGGCAAATCCACTTGGCCACAACAGCCAGTTAAAAGTAACTTGCGGTGTGAGAACAAGTGGTCTGAACGCACACCAAAGTTGGCGTGTTCTCATGTAGTTGGTTGTGTTTTGGTAAAATATTTCTTGTTTTTCTCCCTTTGGCGTTTGCCTTGCCATGCAGTGTACTGTGAGTCCTGTTTTATTCCCCAGTCAGAAGTTAAGCTGTGCGTAGCTCTCTGTTGACTAGGTTGTGGCATTTATTTTCCATACATGTTTTGCTGATATCTGCCTGTGTGTGCTCTTGAGACACTGCTCCTTGCATTCATTCCTAGTGTAGGCTGTGTGCTTAGCCCAAACTGACTTCCATGTCACTCTCTCCCACAGGTTTTGGTGGTGGGCCAGGATTTGGTGGGGTGGGGACTGGGGGTTCTTCTTTTGCCTTCTCCTCCACCAGTAAGCCCACAGGAGGCAGTCTGAGTGCAGGTACAGACATACTGTATATAACCCCCATCACACCTGGCTCCAACTAGAAATGAGTAGGAGTCCGAGTAGGCTTATGTTTACAAGTTGTACTTCCTGAATTGTAATATTTCTCTGAGCATATGTCATCAGATGCAGTTGGACAAGCTGTTCTGAGCATCAAAGCAATGTGCAGATACTATATGATATATTTCTCTGGTTTTCTCTCTGCTGTAAGTAGGCTTTGACAACGTCATCCTTGTGTAGTCTAAGCAGCCATTGTGCTGCCAGTTTGGCCACAAATCATTTTAGGATATGGGGTTTTAACACCAGGTGGACAAAATCTGTTCACAACGTAGCAAATGCTGGAATCAGCCCTTTTATTTTTATCCTTTATTACTTCTGTTCTCTCTAACATTTCTTATATTTTTCTCTTTCTTTTATGTCCTTCTGTGTCCCCTGTCTCTTGCTTTTCTAGGTTTTGGTAGCAGCAGCAGCTCAGGCTTTAACTTCAGCAACCCTGGCATCAACCCCTCAGCTGGCCTGACATTTGGCGTGTCTAACCAGCCTACTGCAGGCTTCAGCACAGGAGGGCCCCTTCTCCAGCTCAAGAAACCCCCTGCTGGTAATAAAAGGGGCAAGAGATAGAACCACGGAAACACCGAACCCTGTGACTGACCAGCTTGGGGTTTGTAGCGGGTAAGGCCTGGTCTCCCAAAAGCATTTAAGTGGTCTAATAATCATTCAACTACAGAACGAAGAAAACATTTTGAGGAAAACATCGGGGACGGGATTGATCCCACAATAAAAGAGCAAAGCAGGATCACCCATTTATTTAAAATAAACATTGAGAAAATGAAACTTCCATTGACCAACAAGCATAATCTTTCAATCATACATTGGTCTGTATTGTCTTCTGTTCTACAGTGATTTGATTCCAAATTGCCAAGGTCTTAGTGTTACCTGCCAGTTGATACAGAAAGTTGCCCACGTCCACGTGTTCCTATGAGGTCTATTTAAACAATAAAATTACATTACTTATTATTAAAACTCACTAACTCTGAATCAATATAGTGGTGTGTACGCAAAGGTTAAAAATCTTTGACTATTTCTGAACAGGACTCTGTGTATTTGCATAGACTCAAAATGTTGCTTGTATCATCTGTAGCCCTACAATGCTTTTGGGATTGCCAGCCACGGACAGCTGGGTCAGTTACAAATCGTTCGGTTATCTGTAAGGAATTTCTTTCGTATGAATATTGTACAAGATCGATGTGTTTTTGCGCTTTGGGGCGGACGGTGCAGATGGTTCCATTGTGTTACACAAACTCTGTCAATTGCATAACTGCACTTGAACGCCTCTCAAAATATGACTGGGTCCAAGTCTCGTCCAGGGAAGGGAAAGGGAAAGAAGCTTATGGAGTAATAGTTGGTTGGGAACAGTGTAGTCCCTGCCTGGAGGTATCAGTGGGGGGTATTATCTGATCCAAGATAGTTTTATAGGCACAGGAGAGTGTCCAGGGTGGGTTTTTGGGGAAGCACAGTTTTATTTTTGTATGAAGTGGAAAAAGAGATGACATTCGGGAGGGGTAAAAGGGGACTAGCACCTTGGGATAGTCCATTAGTCCACATAACCTGTGTTGTTTTTGCTAGAGTCTATCCTTATCATTGTTTAATAATTACTTTTTAGACATTTGTTTGCCCCAGTGTCAGAACATGGGAGAGGAAACGCTATGCTGTTTGTATTACATGGCTCCTATTAAATGTTAAGTTAGTTGAATCTGAAAGGGATTTCACACGCAGGTTCTACCTACTCAACTCAATTTACACATGTGCTACAATAAATGTGCACTTGCCACTGCATACGACCTAACAGTGATAGTGTCAATGTGCATGTGTGCCTATTGCACAAGTATGAATTTGTCTCTCTGGTCTATCATAGTTGCTGACTTCTTTTGAGTGTCTGGTGTGCTTGGGGGGGAATTCTGCTTTTTTAAAATTGACCATGTCCATTTGGTTACCAAAAACTGGTAGATGTATTATTATTTTCTAATCACAGTCTGTGTAAACCTGTATTTTCAAGAAGCTGTTTAATAATAAAATTGTCACTATGATGTTTTGCCTGGCTATGGCATCACTTCAATAAATGTATGTGTTGACACAGATGGTGTTTGTCATTGTGTGTTTGTCCGAATGTGTGTTACCTGATTCGGGGCAGTTAACTAACTTTAATATGACAATGAAGACATGTTCATGGTTATACCAGTTTTCACCATGTTTATGCCAGGACAATAGACGACTATACCAACATTGTCATAGCCTGTATCCAGTGCATTTTCCTGGGCATTGCACAAGCAAGTAAAGTCTTTTAAATGTTTGTGGGTTACATTTCAAGAGGGCAATGGATGGAGAATTACATTCTCATTACATTCTCCACAAAGGTGTTAAATAATCTTTAATTTTATAGCCTTCTTTCTCTGCCAGACTTACCTGTTATGTTACTTTGTGATTGTTCAGTGTCTCAACCAGACCATGTGTCCTATTCCCTTTATGCATCAGAGCTTTTTAGAATTAATGTTTGGAAGAGTAATAAGTGGAAATTGTGTTAACAGATGTAATTTTATTCGTGAAACACTGTTGAACAGTAAAATGGTACACTCTCCTCAGCAGAAGGGGGCGGTAATGCACTTCACGGAGCGTTTTAGCCCCCCCTTAAACAAACGTAGAACGCTGTTACTAAGCGACGATGCTGCAATACACACATCAGGTGCTAGGAATAAATTTACATTTGAGCTAGCCACCCATATTTGAGCCCATCTTTGTGCGGTTTGTGGTCCACATTCATTATTCAACAACCCAGGTAACGTTACAGTGTTTAATGATATTGAAGATTTCTGACAGCTAAAGTTAGAAAAATGCCTTTTGGCTCTTAGCCAAGAATTGCCAACTAACGTTAACGTTACGTTTGTGGCAGGTAGCATTATGACCAAAAGGAGCTGACTTAATTAACGTTAATTGTATAAATGCATTTACATATATTTAAATATATAGAGCAATTAAGAAATTAGTTTTGCTCTCCATACTTTTTCAAGAACAAGTAGAAATGTTTTGTCAAAACAGAATAGCTCTTGAGCGGTTAACTTTAGCTGTAAATTATATCTAACGTAACGTCAGTGTCCTAACGGTTTGTTTCTTTATTCGCCGTTTGTAGGGCGGATTCAGCAGCTGTTACTAACACCTTTTGGGGTGGCTAATGCCAGATTCACAGGCATACTAATATACTTGGCCTGTTTTGCTGTATGTCATTTCTAGGAAATGTATAATATTGATAACTCCATTGTATGAAATGTACTGTAGCTTTTCCAACGTGTCCCCTTTGGATGTTGTGTTCATGGTCTTTACCTACATACTTTTGTCAAACTTCTACAGTGCAGCTTCAACATTAACGCAAAGTCAAGAGAACCAGAATGGACCTTTTATGTTACAGCTAGCCTAATGGTGTGTTATTGTGTTATGTGCACGCACTGTTTTAAGTGGCCAGGGAGCTGCCACTTTAAAAACATTTTTTTTTAAACTTTCTCTTAGGTCTGCGTTCTGCTAGATCTCATCTGCTAATTGGACTATATAAAAATGTTTTATATTGCAGCCATGCCTCTTCCAGACACAATCTACTGTGCCCAGCAAATCAACATCCCTCCCCTGCTGCCAGACATCCTCAAAAACTTCACCAAGGCAGCCATCCGTACACAGCCCAAGGATTTGCTGCTGTGGTCTGCGGCGTAAGTCTTAGTCTTTGTCAGAGGTGGTTTGGGTCAAGGGTAGGGTTACATGTGATTGTGTTTTATTCCAATCTTGATCTCTTAAAGAACGCCATAAACAGTGTCCCCAGGCAGAATCACTCTGTGAAAAGGCAGGCCCTCTTCACCTGTGCATCCCATTTTTGCATTGACTGGCTGTAATTGGATCCCAGGGGCATCCATGTTTCTGCAGCAGTTAAACTATCTGACTTTCTCCAACAAAGGAAAAGAAAACACTGGATTAAAATTTAAATATACCAAGAATGTTTTGTACCCCTAAGGACTGTCGTATCATCTGCTATTTTATTGGCCAATGTAGCTTGGCAGTGTTTACAGTAAAAGACCATAAAGTCAGCCATATGGTGAAACAAAAACAATCAAATGTCTCCTGGGTTACAAGATGTTTATATGCTATTAAAGTAACACCAGGCTCTGTTGCCTTTGAGAGATGCTGAAAGTCACCGTGCCTCCGTTCATTCACTGTAAAATGTTATTTAAACTGTGAAGTAAGAAAAGCCACAGTATGCCCTTTAGCATTATAAGACTGTTGGTAAACTCCAGGCATAGAAAACTGCAATATATGATGTTTCTTTTCAACTGATGGTACTCAATGAGAACTCATTCAATTGGACACATGCCTCATTTTACATATCTTTTATCACTGTATTTGATTGGCATGCTCAGGGAGCAGGGGAGATGAGTGACAAGCAGGGTGAAGCTAAGCACTGTGTTTAATAATAAACGTGTGTTAATAATGTGTGTGTGTGTCCCAGATACTTCAGTGCGCTGTCTAAAGGGGAGTGTCTGCCTGTCAAGGACAGACTGGAGATGAATGTTGCCACCCAGAAGACAGACACTGGGCTGACTCCAGGTCTGCTGAAGACTCTTCATAAACAGGTATTTTCTCTACAGCAGGATCACACCTCATAAAACTGATCACATCATTTCATTTCATAGTGTTGCGGGCTACATTTTGTAATTGATTACATATATGTTGTGTAATTATTAGTTGCATTAAGTTTAATATCCACATTTACTTTCGCTTATATTATTCTGTTTCTGTGTATCTGCATAGTGCAGTGATGCTGTTTCCCCATGAGGATCATTAAAGTTTCATTTTATTGTAAGCCTATTTTATCTCACCTGCGGTGGATTCATTAAAATAACTTAATAATTAATATTTCCTTAAAGGCCAACAGTTAAGCACCAGTGTTAACACTGTGTGGATGCCACTGTCTTCCGCTCTTTATGCCAGTAATGTTAGTATTACAGTTATTAATTTTCACAGCTGTCATTTAGTGTGAAGGACTTTTGGGGGTACTATGACACAGGTTTCCCCCAGTCATTTTAGGGTCAATTGCTGAGCTAAAGTAAGCCTACGGTGAGAGCCAGTGACTCTTCAACTCAGTATATCAAACTCTGTTTGGTCGACTGACTGATGCAGCTGCCTTGATATTGATGCACTATTATCCATTTGTTAGGTAACCCATGGTCGAGATGATATAGGATAATATTTTTTTTATTACAGACAAACTGACTGGCTCTATGCCACACAGTGTTACTTTAGGTTAACGTTGGTAAGCATAGTGTCTTGGCTTGAACCAACATCCAATGGAATCTTCACACATGTCTAGAGGGGTGAACAATAACCTTATTTGGACACTTAGTGAATCTCTGTAGCTCTGGGTAGGAAAAATATCCCCAGACAGAAAGTACTGTTTAGATTTGGTATTGGCATTGCATGTGTTCACATCTCAATAAACGATGCTGCGTAAGTCTTCAGCCGTCTCTGAAACTTCTTAATGACATCTAAACGGGCTCAATTTATTTCTATAACAAATTAGAAAAATTTAAAGAAAGTCTGTATGGCCACAATTCTACCACAGATTGTAGTTGTTTTGGGACATTTACACTCAGATGTAGCTTACATACCAGCTTGGAGTGGGAATAGACTCCTCTTCTTATGTATCTATCCCTGCTGTGTCTTAATTACATAGCTTCCTCAATATAAAAGTCTAGCATAAGTAAAGGAAATCTTGCAGATAAACAGATCATTAGTATGCACAGCTGCCCGATTCCCGAGATCCAATACTTTCAACATATAATACTGAATAACTCATGATTTGTTTTACAGTAAACTAGATATATCTCATTTTCTTTCTCCTCACCTCTCCTAACCTCCCTCTACCCACACCCAATCTTAGCTGTCCGCCGGGCAAACGTGCAGCAAAGAGGAACTGCAGAAGAAATGGAAGGGTCTGTGTCTACCCATGGACCAGCTTGAGACCCTGCTGTTGCTGGGCAGCTTTGGCTCAGACATTGACTGGATGGAGTTCTTTTCCCTGGGCTGCAGTGCTCTGGGAGGGGTGAGATGTTACATAAGGCCAGATATAAATGCCAACACCACTTTATACCACTTCCTTTGAGCGTTAAAACCTACTGTGAGGCAAACCACAGCTGGAGATCCTCAAGCAGCACATTTTCTGTCCATCACACAATCTAGTCTTCGAGTGTTAAGACTAGATCCAGACATCCGTGATCCAGACTTTTCCACCAGGGCCCCCGGGGTCCAGATAGAATGACTGGATGAATCCTTCTCTGATACTTGAATCTATATAAAGCCAATGATTTTGCTTCAAAACTGAAGAAGAGCAGTAGAGACAGATTAAAGAGAATTTCTTTAAGCACTGAGAAATTTGCAGATGATGATGACTTAGAATCTGCAAAAGCAAATGCAGTTCAGCATTATCATCATGTGCTCGATGTCAACAGTTTGGAAAGGATGCAGCTGTGTGTTAGGCTGTTGAACACTTTGCCACATGAGGGCAGTCACGTTCTACATAGAATTGGCTGGTTTTTAAACTGAAAGCTAGTGTTTGCGCATGCAAGCATATTTGCAGTGTGTGCTTGTGATGCACATAAGGGACGTCATCATCCTTGAATGCTGAATGCATGTATTGTGTGTATTGTGTGTGTTTGTTTTTTTGACAAAATTCCTACCATCTGCTTCTGTGTCTCTGCACACGGTTTCTCAGACCCTCATGAGTTCTCTGAAGTTTGCCTGTGAGATCCTGACAGAGGATGAGGAGGGCGGTGCTGCGAGGATCCCGTTCAACACCTTTGTCAAACTCTACAGCTACTTGGCTCACCTGGACGGGGACATGCCACAGGACCACATTGACAACTTCCTCAGCAGCCTGCAGGCACAAGTGTAGGTGCCGTTTGTGTTTTCTCCTCAGATTTAGAGCTGTCAGTGTGCTTATAGAAATGAAGCCTACCTCCCTACTTCCACTTGCAGAAAGCAGCAGAGTGGATGTAGGCGGTGGAAAATTAGGCTGTTTTTAGGCTTGCAGAGATGCTACCCAGTTCTCTTTCCTCAAACAGCCTAATTATTTTTCTCATTCGAATCAGTTCCCCTTGGATTTAGCTCCATTCAAATCTCATATAAAGGCCTTAATTTACTCTTTTGTCTATGAAGATTATCAGTCATCAAGGTCATATGGTATCTCCAAGTATTAACTCAAGAGGCAGCTGGACCTGTTTGGACACGTGACCTCAGCAACTGCAGCAGTAAATGCAGTTGCCTTTTGTTTTTACAACTTCTAGATGTTTCATTCATTTCCCCGTCAAATTTTCCTGATTTATTTTTCCACGTGAGATAGCTAACAAGTCACTCATAGTTTGATTAGGTCAAATGTTCAGCACACATGATTATATCCAGTATACATAGTGCTGCTTAGCATTACAGACTTGACACTCCATATGTGTACAGTAGATTCATAGTCGCCCATATTTCATTTAAAACATGCAGGCAATAACTAATGCAAAACTACTTTAAGCTGAAGGGTTTGCTGCCAAATATTTGTTCCGCAGTGATGACTCTGGATGTGCTGAACATTGCTTTAGCTCTGTTTGGTCCAACATTTCTGCCAGTCAACGTCGGTGGGCTAAGAAGCACAGAAAGTTGAAGAGCTAAGCCCGGTCCCCTGGCCTCAGATGATGTTGTGAGATAGTGCTATTCACTGTGAAAATCCTTATGCTGCTGAGTAGAGCTGTTGCACTGATGCACTGGTTTCTCTGCCCGACAGCAACAAGCAGAACGGCATGATTCAGGTTTCCAGCTTCTACATCAGCAGGAAGTGAAGGAAGGCAAGACAGAAAGCAAAGGAAGACAGGAAGGAAGGAATAGAAGTAACAAAAGGACAGTGTTCAATTAATAAATGGTCCTGCTAATGCTCCTTCAAGCACAGCTGTTGTTTCATTACCTAGAAATTGGTTCCATTAATTGTTAGCATCAGGCACAGTGGGTTATTATTCATCATTGTCCAGCTGAATGAGGCTGCTATTTTGAGTCAGGTTGGAATCTTTTAATGAGCAGCGAGAGAGACACAAAGTCAGCTTACACAAACTGTCAGGTTGAGTGTGTGTATGCTTTTTATTGCCTGTTCCCTTATGTCTGGGTTAGTCAAAGTTCATTTATCATACACACAACCACACATCAGCATACGGCCTCTCTGTTGGTGTATTCATTTCGCCCAGCGGATGAAAAAGAGGAGAGGTAAGGAGATAAGCTCCGAGGGCACAAGAGCATGATTTTCAGCCTGTGTTAAAGACCTAAACCCCCCTGTGTTTTGTTCACTCCTCCATGCAATACTGTAAATGGGCAAGTACAAATTCAAACTCAGACAGGTTTAGTACACTCATCAGAAAGCACACGAAATAACATGCAGGGCCAAGAAATCTAAGTGACACACACATTCGCACACATGCACACACATGCACACATACACGCGCACACACACATGCACACACGCATAAATCTCACAACCAGTCTCCTCAGCATATAATTTTAGATTTACACATTTTTAAAAGACGCTCGCTCATGTGTCAGTATGGGAGCATAATCTGTGGTCACAGATGCACAATATGACACTCTTTTCTTATGAGCATGTTTTTCCGCCTAACGCACGCACACACACACACACACACACACACACACAGAGGCTTGTAGTTTTGTCATTTTGTGAGCATTTCATCAGGCAGGACAGGGAACAGGATCAGTGGGAATTCACAGTTCAGGCACAGTTGGCAGTACGTTTTAGGGGTAGAGGATGCACACACATAAACTGAAGCTTACCCCTTGCAGGATTGCAGCTGCGGCAGAGTCAAAGGGGATTGAAGTACCGATAGAATGCCTGATAACCTGATAACTGAAGGCCCTCCTCTTAGTCAGGCTTAGGCTTTAAAACAGAGATCTTTCTATGAACCACACAGTAGAACCTAAATATTATGTTGAAAATACTTAAGCATTGGTTTTAATCTGCTCAGAATACTTCAATGATAGGGAAATACAGATTGTGTGTGTATATATTGTGATGTAAATAGAAACTTAAAATGTTATCCTACACATGATTTTCCAAGAAGGAAACACGATTAGCTTAATAGAAATAGAGACAAGTTTAGATTTGGGCTATTGCAGTCCTCCAACTGCAGGAACCTTCCCAAGAATCCCAAAACTTGTTTTAGGAAAACATAAACTTCCAGTTTTGGTTTTGTTAATCTTTAGTGGTGTTTCAAATTACATTTTTGTTGTTGACTAAGATATAGACCATGGGCAAGAGAAGCAAAATTAAAAGTTTTCAGTGTGGTTATTTATTATATTTAAAAAACTGTAGATCCTCACTGCTTTAGAGACCTGCCTTCATGGTTTTTTCAATATCCCTTCCAACCTCTGCACGTCTTCCTTCAAGTATATATTTAAAAATCCCACTCTCACACTAGCAAACTACAAAGAGCAACACTCAATTGTCTCAGACCAAACAACTTTTCTACTGTCGTTTAAGATATCTGTCTAAAACTGAAGCCGCTAAAACTGGCACCTGTGCGTGTCCGGAGACACTGCTTGTATTGTTCTATCAAGAAATGATCGTCTTGTCCTGTCCCGGTTTACAATTCTTGTTAAGTAAATTGTATTAAGTAATTGTAAATTGTCTTTATATTCATGTATAATTTACATAGACAATCCGCTCTGGACCTTGTTACCATGTATTGATTGTTACGCCTGCTATTAAAGACAAGGAGATAAGGCTGAAACACAGATATTCCTGTATTTACTGACCTTCTGAGACAAGGATCTTTTCAATATTTCCTATTGTCCAATACTTTCCACTTTTGACCATTCAGTGACACTGTCTTCCCAGCGCATTCTTGGAACTATCCTCAAATTTCTATGCAACTAAAACTTATTTTTAAGTGCATCCTCCACCCAGTACAATGGTCATACAGTGCTGCTTGGGAGTTGTATGCTCCATTGTATTAGCATGTTGGAACATGGGGGAACCATGATGTCATTGCAAAGATGTCAGTGGTTTAGGAATCTCAGCTCCAGGGCGGACCTTGTTGCACAGCTTTTTCTGTTTCTTCAAGCTTTGCTCATAACATCGCATCTCCAGGGACACGACGAATGTAGCAGATTAGTGCGAAAGAGACAGGAGAAGACAGTGTGGACACAAAGGCCCCATTCTAGTGGTCCGCTCTGTAGCTGTTGTGTAACAGATATCAGGGTAAGACTGAGGGAAAACATGATTCATCATGTATTCTGAATTTGCAGAACATGGATATTTCATCAGTTAGCTCTATTACTGTAGTCAGTGCAGTTGTACTCGATTTTGTTGACAGCATTTGTTAGGAAACTGTTTAAACATTAATGGGTTGTTTTACATAATTTAATCATTCTAGAATTCATTGTAAGGCTTGGCTGTTTGTTTTAGTTATCTATTAGTATGAATGATAACCTTAATAACACATGAGATACAGTAACTGGGACATTAGCTGCTCAGTTGTATATGTATTGCGTGCAGATTGCACTATACCAATGTATGTAATAGATGTTTAACAACATGCTATATGTTCCAGGGAGCTCCAACACGGGATGATAAAACCTCTAGACTTTATCCATCGGGATGATATGAACTCAACTTCTCCGGATACATCAGACTTTGCCAGAGCAACCTCAAGAGCTGAATAAGTAAAGCTTGTGTTCGTGTGACCAAAAGAGAGAGTCAGCTGGAAACACCTATCACAACGCTGATGTAACAAATATTTTAGAGACATGGGACACTATGCCATTAACAACACCCATACTTTCCTCGCTGGACGTTTTAAAGACTGGATTTGGGTTTACCACCTGCCACTGTCTTAAAGCTGTGGTGGGATGAACAAGCAGAAACCTCAACAGCTGCCTATGACAGGCACCTGTCAATCAAGCAAACACTCCCAAAAGCATTCTTCTCTTTAAGCCTCATTATCTTCTTAATGGAACGGTGATCTCATAATCCCCACTATGACACACATTAGCAGATTTATTATGAATTTATCTGGTCCTGAAAAAAAATATATAAATACTTTTTATTTCAAGGAAGTTGGAAGAGCGTTTGTGTGTAAGAGGACAGTCATTATTTCCTCTGCAAAACATTGGACTTTTTTCTTGTGTCATTACTCTGTGTTGTCACACTTAACTGTTTTGCGAAGGGGCCGCATGCGCTTAACAGTATTGATTGTTCAATTCTATGTAATGTTTTTGTGTATTTATTTTTAATACTGATTTTGTCAAGGGTGTAACAGCACTGGGGAATGTGTGATCAATACATGAATTTGAATTGTCCAGGCTGTGTTTGAGAGTTGTTCTTACACACATGAACACACAGCACAGAATGAACATAATTAAGGGCCATTGCTGGCTGATTAAAATGAGTTAATTACCACTTGTAGACTATTGAATTTCTCCTATTCAAGCAGCAGCAAAAGCATTGTCTGTCCCTGGATTTAAGTGTTGTCCTTAGCTACTGAATAGGCAGTGTTGTCTGTCCCTGCCTCATTAACTGATTAAGCAATAATGTGAAGAGTTTCTAATCAAGCTATTAATAATCACTACATAAGCCTTTGCTATAAGTGGAAAAACAACATTTTCAGGCAATCTTCTTAGACACAAGCAGCCCCGTTAAAACCCCAACATAAATACTCAGTTTTGGTCCCACATTTACTCTATCATCACACACATACACAAACCTAAACAGTTCAGTGCTTGTGTCAAAAGGAGCCTCACAGGAGATCTTTGTATGGCTCTCCTGCTTCAGGTATGCCATAGAATAGAGCATGGTGTGTTGGGCTGTTTTGGCTGTTTGTGGTTTTAAGGGGGTATGAATGAGAGGAGGTTTGCTGCAGGAGCTTGTCCACGCCTACCAGCGCCAAGATCACATGCTCATTAGATGCATGTGGGATGCAGGCATATATTCCGCTCAATGATATGATGTTAGAGAAATGTATTTATGATCACCTTTTAAATAAAAAGCCGTCCACAGTAGAGTCATTTCTCAGTTTAAAGGAATATTTTGCCACTAATTATGTGGACATCGATTTTGTGCTAATGGTCAAACTCATATTTACAACAACTACATTTTAGTCAGGGAGCCCGCCCCACAGTGCCTCCTTCTCCGAGTAACCTGTAAATGTGAGCTTCTCAATAGTAGACCCTGAGGCACACTTATAGTGGCTGTTAGGGGAAGGTCCTTATTATGTCCAACAAGTATTAGCTTGCCCTTGCGTATAATGATCGTTCTGCTTATGCCTGCTTATATAGGCTACAAATAGAGCTGGGTTAAAGAAATGCTTAAGTAAGGCAACATGCCGGGATTACTGTGGTGACTGCATGTGTACTGTACATAGGTACTGTAGCATGCAGGGTTAGGGTTGAACAAGATGCAGACAAAGTGAGCAGTACGTAGACCCTGTCATCCCTCCCGCAGCAGGTGTGTTATCTCAAGTTATCTCATATTTGAGGTTTTCCAACATGTGATGACTCCTTCAGGAAAATATTGCCAAATATTTTTTCCACATGCTAACAAAGAGAGAGACAGGTTTTGATTTCGAAAAGGTTGAATGTTTTACAGCTTTGGAGTGCTGTACTAAAAGAGCCTTGAATGTAATGGATCAGGGACCCAGTATAAACCTCACCATTTAAATGACACACACACATTCACAGAAGGGCTCATTGTAATTAGGATTTAGATTTTTCTTTAGAGCCCAGGTTGAACTAATGCACTTGGCTCTGCAAGTGATGGTGCTGCTAATGTTGCTCTATTTCCAGCGAGGAGCACCGTGGTTACAGAAGGTGTTACTGTAAAGTGATATTAAGGCATCTCACGTTTTGATAAATTTATGCAATGTAATTTACTCTAGTTATTCAGTTGCATCCCCTAAAACACCCATTCATTATCAATATGAGCCAATTTCCTTTTTTTCTGGCAGAAAATTGTTGCCTTTGTGGCAGCTTTATCCTACTGAACATTTCTTTGACCAGCTCTGGAACTGCTGGTAGTATCAGGGTGTAAAACTGTGATTACAGAATACATTATTGTCCTAAATCAATATAATGTGAGCAACTGAAATTGTTTCATTTTCAGTCTATTAAAATATAAATGTGCTGAACTTTATGGTTATTTTTTGGTTTTCCTGAATTAGTATGCATTATATTGAGAGGTGTTTCTAATATTTTTGTCTACTCCCCTTTTATAGGTAGACTAAATATTTGGAAAATATTTAAGGCTGAAATAGGTGAAAATGGAAGAAGATTGTACTCCTACTACCTGTTTTGCAATTGAATTATTATATTATTATAGTAATTATTATATAATATCTCGAGTCTCTGGTCTTCATGGCCCTAGAATGTTCACTTGCATTCTGTCTGTAATTACAATGTTGCAGTGTAGCTTCTCACAGCCTCCGTCTACATTACATTACATCTACACGTCACTCAGAATCTACACACTTGAGAGCTATACGGGATTAAGTGGAAGAGTGAGAAAGTCATGAGTTACAAGCTTTTACATCTAAAATGTTGATTGCAACCTTTACTCTAACCCTAACTTCACCTTCCTTAATTCTAATTCTAACTGAAGATGGGCAGTTTTATTTTATCATTACCTCCTCTGGTGACTATGTCTGTCTGAACTTAAACTGTTCAAAGTGTTCACAGATATATATCTCTGGAAGCACTACACTGACTGTCACACACACACACACACACACGCGCGCGCGCACACACACACACACACACGCACACACAACAGCAGAGTGATACCATAGAGATGGAAGAGCCACAGGAGAGCAGAGCTCTCAGCTGGGGGTAGATGAAGGTATAATAATAATGGGTACACACTGTTATTCACTAGGTCTTTCCACAGCAGGTGATGCCAGCAAACTGATGTTATTGATTACTGAGGGAAAAAAGGATCATCTCTGTGAAGCTGGCTGTGAGCTTTAAGTAACAGAATGTTGTAGTATTTAGGCACAGCAGACTTTACACAAAACTTAACAGTGTACATCTGCTATTCAGTAACAGCAAATTATTATCCTCTCACTTAACCCTGTTTTTTAACTGTAACTTTGTGTGTTATAGTGAAAACAACCAGTTACATCAACGATATTACGAGTAACATGAAAACAGGATGCAGTCAAAGTATAAAAAAGAACGTGTACCCTGCCAGTGTAAACCTCTCGGTCTTACCTTATCAAATGCAGGACAGGCTATCTATTGTAATGACAAGGTCCTCACACCACAAAACCAGCCCAGCACATCCAGTAAAGAATCTGATGCTGCTAGTGGAACCGATATCAACATGATATCTAATTTCACTGACACTAATTGTCTGCTTAGTGGATCTATATTTTATGACATTACTTTGAAATAATCATTTTCAAGTACAAACTTAACACCATAGCTGATACAGTTTAATTTAGGGTTACTGTTAAATGATGGGTAAATGCCAAATAATCTTTTTGTGTTGGTTTTGCTCACTTCTGTCTAAAAGGTTGCTGTGGTCCAGCCCACACAGTTGCACATTTTTCTGCGCACTAGATGAGAGAACTAGATGATTTCTTTTCCTCCAAATTAGTATGAATTTTCCATGAGCCGAAGCTGGTTACAGACATGCACAAGCACAAGCCCCGCTCTCTCCATAGTTCAGCGCCAAGTAATGAAGCCCAATCTATGTCTCTATTATCTCAACTGGCCAGTGGCCAAGAAAATGAGAGCTAGAGAG